TTGCGTGCGACGTCGCGCCTGCCAATGAAGGCGATTTGAAGTGATATTGGTCGAGGATAGACAATTCACGACCAGAAATAGACATAAGTGTCCACCATGCCCTTGTCTACATGAAATCCGATGCTCCAATCGAAAGGGTAGTGCAAATTAAGGAGACGTCGCGTCCATTGCCGCGCGCGACGAAGCGGCAACTTACAATTCTCTTGCCCGTCTCTCGGATAAACGAAGAGTATAAACGATCACTCATGCCCAGGGCCTTACAACTGGTTTCGGTTCAGGGCTATTAAGGGTACTGTGCTTAGGAAACTAGTGTCACAAGTGTGGGTCGGAAAATTCACGTTGTGACGACGCGCAGTGGGTATCCAGCATTGCATAGCCTGTTCCATCGAAAGTACGTAGCACATCCACGTTAAATTAATTAAGGGTGAAGTTTGGCTTGGTGGGGACACCAAACGGCACTCAGCAAAGCCTCTACAAGTCACTTTGTAGAGGCCTGTGACAAGAGCTCACGTGTCACTTTGGTGAGACCTGTTGGTTAACATAAACTAACAACAGGAAATAGCGAAAGTGGAAAATGCCCCTCCTAAGTCGAACAGCGCCCAATTAAGTTAAGGAATCATGAGTACTGGATCGTTCGCCCATCTACAGTCATGATTCCCGCAAGCGCTAGGGCGTGTGACGCGGCGCGTATCCCCGCGCAGCCAGAGTGCCCTTTTTCCACCAACGATGCCATCCTGAGCCCGCTACAACAGGTGGAACATCTGATCAGGCTGCGCACGGAGCCATGCCCCTTCAGAAGCCCCATTGTTTGCAGGGTACCAGGACTGTAGTGTCTGAAAAACTTGTGTGGAGCTTCTTTTCCAAAATGAAATACTGAAATTCTCGTAAAAACCCTTCCGAAATCCGTCCTGAAACTAACCAATCTTGCCCAACTCATTCCCGATTTGTTTTAGTTGATCCAACGACATGAAGCGCTTTCGAAATCCTATGACAATTTTATTTGCCTAGCGCTCCTGCTTCCGTTCTTATTTTTTGATATTCAATTTATGCGCATAATATCTGATGATTTGCATAATTATTCACTACACAAGCAGACTTGTGCAAATACACAACAATGTTCTCTGGTGCATGTGAGTTTTGGAAATCGCTGCGGAATAGGCGTGATTTTGACGCTTTTGATTGTGGGCGGTGATAGTCCCCGTCATCTAGAAACAAAGCGATCTTTGGAAACAGGATACAGCTCGGTGGTGATTGGAATGGCAGAGTCAATACGACCGCCCTTCCTCGAAATCCTTCTTTTGGTACGACCCTACCCCCTCTAAATCCTTCTTCTGGAACGACTCTTCCTCCCAACACCCCTCCTCCATTCCACTTACCCACTTCTAATCTTTCCACATCTCGAAAACCGAGGAAATTTTCTTGCCGATTCCCAGCGACCAGGCACACCCCCTGAAGAGATTCCCCGAGGAGTGCTGTACCCTATTTGGGAAGTGGATACGCGAACAAAACACAACAAATTCAGCTTAGAACCTTTCAGCAACTGAAGAAATCATCCATGAGATAACCTCTTCATCTCTTATCACTAGGGAAAACCAACCTGGGTCAGGATCTTCTCGACGGCAAACGCAATCGTTGTCTTTCCGGCTCCAGACAGTCCTGTGAACCAAATTGTGCAACCACGGAATCCATCGTGTTTTCCAAGTACTGCAGCTCTTTCTTCACGACCAGTTTTATGCTGCTGATAGGTAACGTTCGTCGCACCCGTCGAGTAGTGCTGAATAATGGAGATTTAGAATGATGCAATAAGAAATGGTCCGAAATATTAAACCACCACATTCCTAATTTGTACCGTTTCATTATATTCGTTCGATTGTTTCATAAGACCCCAAAACAAAAGTGCCCTTCTGTTGTAATTGTTCCCTTTGAGTATTGTTCATGACGACGGGTGGAATCGCGCGAAATTTAGCAGAGTATTCCTAGCTAGATGACTTGACAAGCTGCAGTATCAAGCGAGTTGCGTCCCAAAGTGATGCGAATGAGCTCCCTTGTTACAATCCTTTGGGAGCCCACGCTAGGGCTCGGAACTACTGCCGTTTCCTTTGCTGAGTCGTAAGCTGTTTGAAGACACACTCATGCCCTGATCATATGGAACAGATGTCGCTGATGTGCCCCTCCTTTACAACCTCAAATGGAGGAGTACACCGGCGATAAGCGTGTCGCCGCCCACATGGCTATCGCGGAATGGGCTTTCAAGAAAACGACTCCTCATGGTCAAGTAGCACAAGCACCACGAGTATGGCACTTGTAGCGACACCTGAACCTTCTACAAACCCCCATAACCTTTCGAGCGTTCCATCGAAACGTCGAAAGGTTAGCACCCGATTGGGCTAGCAGAGTTGAATTTTGACTAGTAGATAGACTGTCCGAGAAGGTCAACTAGACATTCAAGTGCCACTACAATCCTGCCTGACTGACGGATTTCAAAAGATGATTCGATGACGCGGAGTGCACTAAACTTTCCGCTTCTAGGCCTAATTTTAGATTTCGGAGTTCATTCGCTCGTAAAATCTGAAGTACCTGTTACGTCACCTGCCTCAAATTGCTAGGTAAAAAGAACTGGAAATGTGCGATCATACAAAAAGGACTGCCCAAGTAATACTTGAGATGCAGGATTTGAAATATGAAGGCAAGCCAAACGTGGAAAGATAAAAATGCTTATCGCTCACTCTGCGTTTAATACTCAGGTACAGCAATTTGTGTCAAATCCCAATGGGGGGAGGAGTCGTAGTACTTTTTGCGTCCTGGAGGGGGGGGTTATTTGGAAGACCATAATTTATTTTTGATAGTTGATTTTTTCGTGAAAGGGGGGTGTAGTAACTTTTTTTATAATATGCACTATATGCATTTTGTACGCCCGTGGGAGTTGCATAGTAATTGTATACCCCCCCCCCTCGACAACTTTTTCGCCGACTATATACTCATCTCTCTCGCCGCTCCGACAAAGAAGCGTGAAGGCGGTGAGGGGGAGGGGGGGGTGCGTGGTGCCTGGACCCCCTTCGAAGCGGGGGCGGTGTCTGTACTCACACGACATTTCGACACATCCCCATGCTGTATACTGGCTGTTTATACATCTCGACGTTACTGCTGTCAACAAGGATGCCCTTCATCGTTGGCGTCTAGTCCAGAGCTATTTTCTCACCGCATCTACTGGCCCAGCAGTTGAAAGGAGAAGGAAAAGAAAGGAAGAAGAGAGAAGGAAGGGGAAAACGAGAGAAATAGGAAAGAAGAAGGTAAAATGATGAAGGCTACGCGTCTTTCGATCAGAATAAGGACACAACTTTTTCTTAATCATTGCAACGCTCTCACGATTTGCAGCGAAGCGCAACCGGTCGCCCTCTCGCGCTTCCAGATTCTGCGATCAGACTGTACCGTACCTAAAAAGCGCGAAATTCAGCAAACCGTTTTCGGGTAAGCGCCACATGGAGACTAGTCAGCGGGGGCACCAAATCATGTGGAATGAATGAAAAATGTAAAATAATGAGCAAAACTCTAAGAACCGAACAACTCGCCATGAATTTTCAGTGATTGGGCAGCCGTGCAAAGATGATAAGATCAAATACTATCAATAATATCAAGAGGTGAGATCACATATCAATATAATGGGCCCCATTCCCGCTTTGAGGAGCCTTTTAGGTATCGGGTTATGCCTCTGTTTACCCCTGCGAACACTTGGGGAGTCAAAAACGTATTCAACCATCTGATCTGGGGCGGGGAAGATGTATGGAAAAAAAGGTCTTCAGGTATTACCCAACTGGAAAAATTTCATTCCAGGCAAACCAAGTTTTCCATCCTCCTTGCTCAGTTAGTATGTTTCCTATCTGGTGATATAGAAGGAATTTCTACACTGATTGGCCCATTTCAATGCCTAGGCCAAACAACATATAAAATGTCATCATGACTCTGAACTGAGGTAGAATGTGTGGCGCACCCTTCCCTATCCCCCTCTCAATCAGCTGATCCTAAACAAAATGGCGCGTGCTAAACGGCTATTTTGTAAATGGAGGTCTCGTGGTGCATAGGACACTACTGGAGTTGCATTTTTTTGGAATACCCCTACCTTTCCTCCAGAATACAACCGCCCGCGTTGAGGATTCCCCAACAGATGGTAAGATATGAGGCAATCAGCTCACCTGTAATCCACAACTGACGCATGGCGTTAAACGAATCTTCGGACGCATCAGAAGACAATGATCGGTACTGAAGTGACTGCTACACCTACTCGCCTACGCACCGCCTATACATGCCGCCTAATTTTAGGGTTCGAGCTTCAGCTCGTCACGACCGCCAGCTCTCATAATAACTATAATCGTTTAGCTAACAACTCACAATTACCCAGCTAGATAACGTAGGATAACTTGTGATTCGAATCAAATCCTTTCGTCACCATTTTCACAGAAAACAAGTAACAAACTACTATTAGCGGAACCTCTTCGACAGATCACAGGGTTTAGCGCTGAGATTCTGCAATTTCTGGGGGCAGTCCGGCGACGTGGGGGGGGGCATTTTGCACTCTTGCTACTTCCCACCGACATGCCTACACATCTGGAGGGCTATTTCATGAGCTTACAGGAGTTGACAAATCATATCACGCTGGCTCATCGAGCTTGCTTTGCCTCATCGAGCTTGCTTCAGCTAAAGAGTTCACAAGTTTTACCAAAGTGAGACGTGTAAACTGGAGTGGTGAAGCAGCAAAGATGCAAAATGTCCCCCCCCCCGTCGACGAAGCGCCTATTCCTGTCTGGGAGTTACTTCCACTTCTGCACAAGGAACATTTCAAATGTTGCCTTTCCCAAGATTATCAGAGCAGTATACTCAGACCATTGATTATAGATAATTACATTTAGCTACACCAAAGTAAACAAAAACCATGATGGATAAACTCTTTGCACTAACTATACACACTAGCGGGAAGCTCCGCCCACGGTGCACAAGCTCCGCCCTTATCTGACCATACAACTAATAAACTACAAATAATATCATTCCGCGTGAAATCATAGCCATAAGACTAACACAGTACGTTAGGAACCTTCGGATTCCCCGTCCAGGAGTCCAGATGTCATCTTCAACAGAGTCTTTTCGATCCTCAGGACCTGGCAATGCATTCCGTCTCAAAAAGAAGAATATGAGAGAATAAAAACTGTTGAGCAGACCGTTGATGAACTTCTGGCCAATCATGGAAAAAGCAGGGACTGGAGATCCGGCAGGGTTACAAATGGCAACTGCCACTACTCGTTCATCCTGACGTGGCACCATTTTTCAATAATTCAAACAAAGAATTTACATTGAAATTCATAGGAGTGTAACAGTGACAGTGTGTAATACACAATGGGGAACCCCGTGGGGCCATTCTTTGAAAAAAAGGACTAGGGGGTTGAAGCAGTGCACGTCTACCATGGTGATCCCCAGCGAGGGGTCGTATTCGATCGCTGACGAGAGAAGGGTCATTTTGGCTTTTACGGAATAATTGACTTCCCAAATTTTTTGCTGTTTCAAGTGAATTATATACTCCACCCAATCCGATCCTCTAATCGGCAGTTTTTTAGGGGGAAAAAGGAGAATTTTCCAAAAGAAAATTGCCGAAAAAGTGGTAGGAAGTTGGGAAAATTCAGAAGATGGAAGGTGAAACGGGGAGGGGGGGGGCATGAGGGAGCAGGGTCGTACCGAAAGGAGAAGTTTTGAAGGGAGTCGTATTAGGGAGATTTTTCCCAACGGCTAGACCCTCCCCGAGTTGGAGTGCACTGGTTCCTCCAATATGCGCCATGCATTTGAGTTCCTATCAGACCCGCGGAGACAAATGATTGCAGTCTTGCCCAGACAATGTTTTCAAGAGAGATCTCGATAATCAGGAGTAGCAACCGCAATCCAGAGGGGATCGTTCAAGGGCACCCCTTGTACCTTGTACTGTTGATCGATCCCTAGTGGGTGGCGCTGCATTCCACTGCCATTCAGAATCGTAAAGGCATTGTGAATGCGATTTGGCCAATAATTTACGAGCGACAGGCATATAGAGAACAGTGCCTCTACCTTCCCAAACAACTCTGGGTCCAACTGAATGAGCCCGGAGGAACGGAAGGCTTGGCTGACCTCAGCGGGAACTGAACCGGCTGCTTGGCCGCAATGAGCACTGCAAACACTGCTACCTACCGATGCGCTATCAACTGCTTTGTTTCAATTTTTTAGTCTTTCCTACACATGGTTTTACCAAGTAGTGTTGGCTCCAGGGGAAAAATGAGGCGCCCTCTATATCTACGACGGCTTCAACGGTGAAGTGATAAGCCATTCGTCATGCTAGCAGCTTTGGGGTGGGCCACACTAATAACCTTTTCCGAAGTATGACTTTCTTTTTTTGCCTTCTCACAAATTTGTCTCACACCGCGACGTGCGGCCGAGTCGACGCTCTGTTTAGTTCTTGTTTTGAGGTACCCTGAAATGCCTGTCCAAACATGGCGAGAAATGAATACTGCGGAAGCATTGAGGAGGAGCCCGCTTCTTCTTAGTCTTTTCAAACCTTTGACGCATGTCTATTTTTAAACAAAATTTGACAGGGATATATAGCGAATTCCTTGTCAGGTGACTGAGCACAAGCTCACAGGCTTAGCAGGGTCGCGCAGTTTTGTTCGGTATTGCACACGGTCTTGCTCGGCCGTTCATTCCAGCAGCTTGTGGCAAAAGAATAGGAACGATGACAAGCCGGTTACGGTAAATGCCCCCCTCTACCATATCACGCCTTATTGAGGCTAGGTGCAACATCACTAGGGTTGAAGGCCCGGGATATGTGGTCTAGGTCCGTACGACCCCCCACCCTTGTTTTTTTGTTAGGAGGTGTGGTAACAGACCCCCAACCTCCCACCACGCCCTTCAACGGACACCCTTCTTGTTCCTCCTCATGAATGGAGCGTGGAGACGAAGGAAGGGCGGGGAGGAGGGTAAATAGCAGCATGTGATTAACCGGCGTAAAAGCCGCGAGGAAAAATACGACGCTCCCTCTACCAAATTCTGAATTTCCCGCCAAATTCCTTCAGCCCATTTTTCGAGAGAATTTTCTCCGAAGAGATTTCTCCGCTGGTTTTCTATCTTTTTTCCACAAACTTTGCCATCGTGGCGGGGGGTATATATACATACAGAATGCAAAAAATTACGAAGAAGCCTCAACCGACGCACTGCCACCACTTAGAAGCCAGAAAAGTAAACACGATCACCACCAGACGCCCGCCTCCCCCTGCCAGCAGTGAGAGGCGAGCACGACCCGCCCCATCCCCTCTCTTTACACACCCCTTTTTACAACGTCGCGTGAAGCGAGAAGAAATCAGACCTAACCAAACTAAATTCTTCCCCTCTCCCGGCGACCAATATGAACTCCCCTCTAGGACACCCAGCTGTAGGGGATTGGCCCTCAACAACGATGTGTGCCTGAAATTATTGGGGCCCAAGTTTTTCTTAATAACTGATACCGCCTCACCCAACAGCGAACAGTATTTCGCCCTTGTCGGAAGCATTAACCTCACCTCCATCTCCATTATATTTATCTCAATTTCTAGTCAAGCAAATATCACCCAAAATAGAGAACTGCCAAAGAAGGGCGCAGCTCGGCTTGGGGGGGGGGGAGGTGCCATTCTGCTTTTCGCTACTTCCCATTGTTATGTTCATCGCTTTACAAGACTTGACAGGTATTCTTCAAAAGAGTTGACAACTAATCTCTATAAGCTGCGACTGAGAGAAGTAGCAAAAGTGCAAAACGCCTCCCCTCTAGGCCGAACTGCGCCCAAAGAACATCTAGTTTGTAATGTGAGATGATATCATGTGATGAAATGTTACAGACGTGACGCCATTAGTTACGACAATGAATGGAAAATGGAAACATGGCTTTCAAGAGGGAATGGAACGTACATTAATATTTAGAAAGGAAAAAATTACAGATAAATCGTGAACCTTTCGCCACGGCAACCCGAAAATCTCGAATTTTTGCTTGTGCTGGAATATCTTCCCCCAGGGCTATTCAACACCCTGATTACGAATACAAGTACCGAAGGAGATATTGAAAAAAAATCACGGAATCGCGAAGTTTTAGTAATTTTCAGGTACTTAAACTCCACGAATGGTTGCGCAGTATCACAAGCAGGACACGCCATCGTTGTGATGACCACAACAGAGGGGTCGTATTTGACCGCGAGGGAGGGGAGGGGGTCGTATTTGGCCGTTGTTGAGAGAGGGACTGCCAAAGATCTATACAACTACTATTTCCGATAGTTGAAAATGATAGTTAAATCCTGACGACCCCCCCCCGCTCGACAGCAAAATTTTGGGAAAAACCAACCAGAAAGGAAATTCCGAAAAAACTGGTAGGAGGTTTAGGAGGTTGGAGAAAATCTGAGAACATTATGGCTGCTCGCAGCTGGCGCTACACGGCCCCACCCCCCCCCGCTCGACGGCAAATTCTTGGCTGAAAAACTGGGAATTTTTCGGGAAAAAGATGGAAAAAGTGGTAGGAAGTGGGGGGAAAATCCAGGAAAGTGGTAGGTAGCATGGAGAAGGGGGCGGGGTCGTATTTGAGGATATAATTAAGGGGGGGGGTCGTATTTTTCAGGAAATGATCAGCAGTAGTGCGCGACCTCTGAAGAATGCTTGAAGTAATGGCCCAAAGCTGCTCCGAGATGGCGATCTTCGAACCACGGTACCTGCAGCGCTTTTCAAGCGGGCTGTCCCTTATCACCACGAGGCCCTCCCCTTACTTCATCGCCCAGCTGCGACTGCTTGTACTGCGTACTCTATTACAGCCCTCAACATGTTCAAGCCAGAAGGGGCAAAATCCCGATCTTCAGGCGGGCTCGAACCAGCACCCCTTGCTGTCTTGTCTCCCAGGTGTATTGGGAGAAAAAATGGCGCTGATTCCGCCAGACCAGCAGACCCGTAACGAATGTCGCGTTTGCAACCAACCAATGGAACACTTAGGAGCAAAGTTCCAGCAGAAAAATATTACAATATGAAGTTTTGTTGATGCAATAGTAAAATAATGACAAATATGCAACTAGTAAACTAACCACGGCCTTGATCCTCTTTCGCGGATAATCCTCAACATTTTCGTATTCATGAAGCGGTTCCATGATGTTGGATGTGCTGCTGCGTATGGATGCGGATATGAACGATCCTTTTCGAGTCGTCGGCAAAGGGGGCGGCTTTC